GTGAGAGGCAGCCACGCTGGGCCATGTCACCCAGAACCTGACCAAGCTCTTTTTTGCAGCCACCAGGCTCTGAGGTCACTCCTGTGGACCCTGATGGCTCCAATGCTTGGTCAGCATCTCCCTGTTTCAGAGACAGGGATGTTCATGGTCTGTTCATTCTTACTCATCTTGCCCTAAGGTGGTGCCAGGGTTTAGCCCATGTCCCTCCCTGGTGTCTATCTCTGGTTTTCCACAAATGTGTCTTCTCTCAGCATCCATTTCTCAGAGATCAGGAAGCTGAGTCATCTCTGTAAGACACTCTCCTCTCTCCAGAACAATCCAGCAAACTCTCCCTGCACTAGTTTCAGACTAAATTCTCCCAGTGTGGCTCACCAGAAGCAGGTGGCAGTCCAAAGTGTTGCCAGAGCCCTCATACTTTTCTGTGCCTCACTTGAGGCACAAATGAAATGACTCTCCCAAGACAACTTGGGATCGTTTTCCTTTCCATCCTGCTGGTGGATCACAGCTACCCAGTTGGTAGATCACAGGTCTCCCACCCAGCCTTGGGCAGGTGAGCATCTCAGGTGCAGACAGAGACATCTCCCTTTGTGTTTGATGGGAAGAATAAGGCAGTCCCAGTGAGGAATTCATCTCACTCCACAGGGAGTGTTCAGAGGATGGGGATGAATGGTTTCTGTGGGTGCCCATGGTCTCACACTGACTGTAGAGACAGCTGAGACACCCAGGTGCCACTGGCTGTCCAGCTGTGAATGTGGAGTTACCAGAGCCAAACATCATCTATGGTGATGCCATAAGTAGCTCAATATTCTCTGTCCCTCCCCAAGGAAGCCCTCCTGGATGCCAGCAGCAGGGATGGTTATTAACACCTGAGTTCCCTTTGTGTGGCTTGGCATTTAACAATGTCTGAGGATGGTTGGGTGCTGTTGTGCTCACCCCTCTGCCTGGCTCTGATCCCCCCCAGCAGCTCTCAGGGGCAGCCAGTAAATTGTTCCAGTGTTGGCTCTACTCAAGCATGAGTACAGATGTTCACCAACAAGACCAGGTGTCCAAGGCCAGGCTGGACAGGGCTTGGAGCAACCTGGTCTAGTGGAAGGTGCCCCTTGCCCAGGGCAGGGCGTTGGTACAAGATGGTCTTTAAGGTCCCTTCCAACCCAAACCTATGATCACTGGAGTATTTGATGGGACATCTCTGGCAGCATGGCAGGATTTCTTCCCTTCTTGTATATTGTTCAGACCACAGTAAGTCCCAACTGCTTTGCCTTGTGCATGTCCAATCCCTGGTCCAGATGAGCATTTTTGTCAGAAGACCAAAAATTTCTTTAGAACAAAACACGACTTGTAAGAAATTAGAAAGGCACCTAAAAGAAGAAAGAGCAGCAGAGTGCTTAGATAAAACCCAAATCCAACTTTGTTTTTAATACAGTATAAATAGCAATGGACCTGGACTCATCACATTTGTCTATAAAAAAGCCATCAGCAGAGACCCTTTGCTGAACACACCCAGTACCTGACAGCCTGAACCAACATCTGAAGGTCCAGTGCCACCAAACAATTCCACTTTCTTCTTCCCCTACCTTTAAGGACAAGAGTGCCTCAACATCATGCATTCTAATTTGGACTGTCATGAGACTGCTCATGCAGTGCAAGTGAAACCCTCATTGAATCCATGCTGGATTTGATCTAAAACACTGATCTGAACCTTCAGGCCAGGTGTGAATGGTCTGCCCTGAATCCTCACTCAGAGGACAGCAGCTCTTGGTGTGACTGGCCTTGCATCCACAAACTGGGGAAACTCATGTCCATGCTCACCAGAGAGGGACCCTCTGCATTGCTTTATAATTGGACTCCAAACCTTCCAAAGGTTGGGCTGACGTAGGAGGAGACTTCTGCCCCTGTGGTGCTGCTAGAGGACCTTCCCTTTGCACCTCAGCAGCTCAACTGCAAGGTGGGGAATTCAGTGGTGACCTCAGTGAGAAATTCTGGTCATGGTGAAAAATGTAGCATCACTCCTGGGTGGACCAACTCCTCAGCAGAAGCAAAATTTTCTTTTACTCTGTTCCTTGCTCAACATTTCCTGAAAAGTGGTTGGACTCCAGAAATGGGATTTACCCTGGCTCTCCTGACCATCCAATGGTCCCCACATCCCTCACAATGCTGATTCAAGTTCTCATAGCATCCCCCATAGGTTCCCCTGTGCCAGCCAGGTCTGAACAACAGCTCAACCAGTCACTGCTTTGTCTGGGACAAGTGTATGCCCAAATACACTGGGGGCTGGAGCAGGCTGAGAGCTGAGCCTGACTTTATTCACAAATTCATGGTGAGAAAGTTGTCCACTGAGCACAAATTCTGCAGAACATCCTTTTCTTCTCTTCCATTTCCATCCACGCTCTGGAAAAAGCCATGCTTCCATGGCTGGCTGAGGCTCCAGAGGATGTCCATCCTGTTTGTAGTGGTCATCAGAAATACTGCAGCACACCAGTGAGTTCCTGTAGGCATCCTGCACAACGTGCCTGGGGATGAAAATCCACAACAGGGAAGACCCTCTGGGCTGCCCAAGTCCCTCTCCAATGGCATCCAGTTGGGCCCAGAGCAAACTGGATGGTGGCACTGAGAATTTTTTGAGAGTTGTCCACATATTCAGTGGACATGGACATTCCCTGGTTTCACCATACCCCCTCTGGCATGGCCAACCCATGGCTCAGCTCCTGCAGCATTCCATTCTCACCTCAAGATCTTTTGGACGGGCACCCTGTGACTGGCACAGGGCAAGGACAGTGAAGAAAATTGCCCTTCAGCCATCAAGTGCTCTCATCTTCCCCTGTCTCCAGCCTTGGCACGTGGCACTGCTGCTGGCTGTGCCCTGGCTGCTCCAATGCCACACCCAGCACCTCCAGCACTGGCCTCAGAGAACCCCTTGACACATCAAATTCCTCTTCCAGGTTCCAACAGTCTCCCTGCTCCTGCTCCTACATCCCCATGCCAGCCATACAACTGCTGACCATGCAGGCAGCCCTCACATGGACCCCTGCTGTGCCCCTGACTTGGGATGGAGCAAGTGTGTGGCACTGCCAGGTGGGCATGGAGCACATGTGTGGCACTGCCAGGTGGGCATGGAGCACATGTGGCACTGGTGGACAAAGCAGGAGCACAGGAATGGCACTGCCAGGTGGGCATGGAGCACAGAGGTGGCACCAGTGGGCAGACCAGGACCACATGTATGGCATTGATGGACAGACAGAAAACACAGGTATGGCAGTGATGGACAGACTGGGAGCATGCAGGTCACTGATGGACAGGGAGCACAGCTATGGGACAGATGGAACACACATGTGGCACTCGAGGACAGACTGGGACCACATGTGGGGCAGTGATGGACAGACAAGGAACTGGTGTGGTGGCACCAACAGACAGACCAGAAGCAGAAACGTGGCACTGTTGGGTGAGCATGGAGCACAGACGTGGCACTAATGGACAGACCAGGAGCACATATGTGGCATTGATGGACAGACAGGGAACATACATGACACCAACAGACAGAAGAAGAGCACACACGTGACACTGCTGAGCGGGCATGGCACATGCATGTGGCACTGATGGACAGACCAGGAGCACACGTATGGCACTGACGGACAAACAGCACGTGCGTGGGACCAGCGAACAGACCGGCAGCATATGTGTGCCATTGATGGGCAGAGCAGGAGCACACGCGTGGCGCTGCCAGGTGGGCATGGAGCCCACATGTGACACCGCTGGACAGACCGCGAGCACACGTGTGGCACCACCAGCATCTCGGCACATGCGTGTGAGCGCCAGGCAGAGCCCGAGCCGCAGCCGCCGGCCGGGACGGGCCGCCCCATCTCACCCCCCCGGGACCCGCCGTGGCCGCCCTCGCCTCCGCCCCCTCGGGGCCGGAGCATCGGGACCGTGTCCCGACCCCCCCCGTTGGCCCCGCAGTGGCGGCGCTCGATCCCGCCGCGGGACAGCCGCGGCTGCGGGGCGCGCGGCGGATGCGGAGGGCGGGGGAGCGGAGCGAGGCACCGGGGCCGGGGTCCGGCCTTTGTCTCCCGCTCCAGGGGCCGGCAGGACCGCGGCTGCCCCGGGGCCGGGCTTGGGGCGGGGTGCGGCTCTCCCGGTCCGGCGGGACAAGCCGCAGCCGCTCCGGTCAACCGAGGGCGCTGCGGGGCGATCCCGGTCCTCGCGGCGGGTGGCGGACCCCCCCCCCTTCACCTTCCCACCGCCGCTCCCGCTGCCCCCGCGGCTCCTCCCCGGCTCTGCGGCGGCTCGGCAGGTGCCCGCCTCCGCCCCCGCCGGCCCGTCCCGCCGCACACGTGCGCCCGCGCCCCGCCGGCCCTTTGTCTGGGACCGGCACCGGGACCCGCGCCCACCGACACCCCCTACCCCGCCCCGGCCGCTCGCCCCCCCGCTCCGCTATCCCGTACGGGGCCGTATGGCCGGGGAGCGGGGAAGCGGGGGGGGAAGAGGCGGCCCAGCCAGGGGAGCGCATCCCACCGGAGCCGGGGCGGGGGGGAGCAGCTGCCCCGGGACCGGGTGCTGGAGTGGGGGGGGGGGGGGGGGGAACGACCCGTCGGTGGCGGCGAGGCCGCTCTAACAGGTGGGATCCCGCTGAGAGGAGGAGGCGGCCGGAGGGGGGCGGAGGAGGCAGGGACGGGCGGGCGGGCGGGCGGGCGGAGGGAGGGAGGGAGGGGGACGAGCCGGAGCCGCCTGTGATCCTGTGACAGGAGCGGCTGCTGCTGCTGCTGGCGCCGCCGGTACCTCCCTCCGGTCGCTGTCCGAGCCCCGGTGCTCCCCCCCTCCTCCCCGTTACAGCGGCCGCCACCCCTCCTGCGCCTCTTGCTCCCCGCTCCATCCCGCCCGTCGCCCCCGCAGCCCGTCCCGGGAGCGCCGCTGCCCCTCCGCCCGCTCCGGGACAGGGCGCGGGGCCGGGCGCCGCCGCTGCTGCTGCTACCGCCGCCGTTACCGCCGCCGCCGCCGGTCGGGCGATGCCGAAGCCGCCGTTACTGCTGCGGGGGAGCCGCCCCGGGGACAGCGAGCTGGGGCGGCAGTTCCGGGACTGGTGCCTGCGCACCTACGGGGACTCGGCCAAAACCAAGACGGTGACCCGGAGCAAGTACCAGCGCATCGCCGAGGTGCTGCAGGGGGGAACCGGCTCCGGCGGCGGCTCCGGCGGGGGGGAGAAAGGCAAGTTCCAGTTCTGGGTCCGGTCCAAGGGCTTCCGCCTGGGAAACGGCACCAGGGAGGCGACGAAGATGGGTCAAGTGGTGGTATATGTGCCGGTGAAAACGGGAACGGTTAGTGCGCTCCGTGCCCCGGGGGCTCTGTGTCTGTCTGTCTGCCTGCCTGTCCGTGTCTGTTTGTCCTCCCCGGGGGTGCGGGTGGGGAGGGGGGGGGGAATTGCCCGGGGTGGGGGCGGGCACCCCCGGGGCCCCGGTCCCTTCCACCGCCGCGCCGGCCCTGTCCCGTCAGCACCGGGCGGCCCAGCCCCGCCGGCCGCCGGGAGCGCGCATGCCCCATGCGGGGCGCGACGCGGGGCCCGGCCGCTCCCGCAGCCCCCGCCGCTCCCGGGGCAGAGCCGCCGCGCCCCCGCCGCCCCGACCCGCCCGGGATGCGGATGGGGAGAGGCGCCCGCCCGGAGCCTCGCACCTTCCGCTGCCCCCCCGATCCCCATCCCTGTCCCCGTCCCATCCGGTGCTGCCGCCTTCCCCGGGCGCTGCCGGCGCGGGGGAGGTGGGGGGGCGGCGGTGCCCCGCGCCCGCCGCCGTGCACCTGCCCCCGCGGGGGGGCCGCGCCGCCGCCCGGTGCGGGCCCCGCCGCCCCCCCGCCCTGTCCGATCACGTTCGCCCGGCATTTCCCATCCGCCCCACGGCCGGGGACAGGGCTGCAGTCAAGGGCAGCGGGCGGCGGGGAGGGGGCGCCGGCACCCCCCGCCCCCCCGCGCCGCCGCCGCGCCCTGCCCGCCCCGCTGCCGCGCCGAGCGGAGCGGAGCGGAGCGGGGCGAGTCTCGCCGAGCCGAGCGGAGCGGGGCGAGCCCGGCCGCCGCGCTGAGCCCGGCCCCGGCGTCCCGCGGCGCTGCCCGCCCGGCGCGGCCGCCGCAGCCGGTGCCCCGGGGGGTGCGGGCAGCGGCAGAGCCCGGATTAGGGCAGCTCCCCCCGCCCGCTCGCGGGCCGCTGTCCCGGGAACTCCCCCGCCGGAGCCTCATTGTTCGGCGCCCGGCCGGGCCGGGGAGCGGGGCACCGGCCGCCGCCTCCCTCCCTCCTCCCGCCGCCGCCCGGGGCTGCCCCGCCGCCCCATTGTTCCCGTCCCGAGCGTGTCCCGCTCCCCGGCGCGGGGGGGAACGCGCAACTTTGGCGGCCCCGGCCCCGCGCTGGGAGCGCCCGGCGGGGCTGCCCCGGTCCCGGCCCCGCGCCCCCCGCCGTCCCCCGCGCCCCTCTCCGCCCCGCCGGGACCGCGGGCACCGGAGGGCTCTGGCAGGGATTTTTTTCCCCCTGTCCCTCCCCGCCTCTCCCGCTGCTGCTGCTGCTGCCGCTGCTGCTGCTCTGAAGGGTGCAGTGTTTTCTGTGCACACAGACTCCAGCATTGATGTGGCTGGAGGATGCTTCCATTGAGGGCAGCCCATCTGTGGCAAATGCTTCTAAACGCACTATTTACCTCCCATCTGGTCCGCCTGATTATTGGGGGGAGGGGGAAGGGTCATTATTTCTCCCTCTCCCTTCGTGGTGCTCTGAGGCTCCTTTCTTTCTCCCCTCTCAGCCCCCCTCCCCCATGCAATGCCCCAAAAAAATTCTTTGCAATTTTTTTTTTTTTTAAGACCTCTTAGCAGCCCTCCTCTATCACTGCCCCTGTGCCAGGAGCCCCTGAGGGAGGGCGGATTAGGTGCTGTACCCCCTTCCAAAGATCCTGCACTCCCTCCCGGGTCCTCTCCATGCAGTCAGCGACTCTATCCCAGATCTTCCAAATGCTGCAGAGTCATGGTACCCCAGAGAGGCCGAGCCAGACTCCCTCGACCCCGCTGCTCGCTAGATGCCCCCTCCCCTTTGTCCGGGAGGGAGTCCCGAGGGTCAGCGGCTCAACCAGGCCGGCACAAGCCCGCATATTCCCAAAGGGCCTCTGCACAGATGAAGTTTCAGCGAGGAGCATGCCTAGGCCCCCGCATCTTCCCTGGCAGAGTCCCTGCAGGCTACAGACAGGCGTTACACCCAGACTCCCCTAATCCAGCACACACAGGCAGATATACCCTAAGGAACAACCGAATTTTTTCAAGGGGCAATACAGCTTATTTCCCAGTGCCTAGATGCCAGCCAGATGTTAGGACTGGGAGAGCTTTGCAGAGCCACTGCAAAGGGAGACCAATCATCATGGTCCCCAAAACCTTCCAGAGTGGGGTCTGTAGAAGTTGTTGCCTCCTGCTCCTTTGGTCCCAGCCTCCCTGGCCCCCCTTGGCCAGGAATCCCATGGACCATTTCAGATGAGTGCAGTTGAGAGTTTGGTTTTGCCTGAAGTGGCTCTCAAATTTAGAGATAACTTGTCAGGGATTTTCTTCGGCTCCTTGTAATTCAGTGCTCTCCGCATCCTTGGTGGTTTGGGCTGGGCTTGGGGTGTATTTCCTTGCTCTCAGGCACACAGTCAAATATGTCATGAAGCTGATATGAGGCTTTTGCTGGACAGTAACGCCTGGATTCTGGTTTAATGTCTGTTCAGCTGCTTTTCCCAAATACTTCTGGAGCGGGTTTTGGTTGCTTTCCCCTGGCTGTGCTCCTCAGCAATCTGATCCCGCTCGTCCTGTCCGCTCGCCCTTCCCCAGGCACATCTGCCGGGCCAGCACCGTTCTGGGGATGTGGGGATGTCCCCCGCTGCAGGGACAGGCAGAGCCCCACCCCGGGTGCACTGAGGGGGTGCCAGGGGGTGCATCTCGCTCTGCTCTGACTGCAGGACACCACAGCAAATCCAAGGGACCAGGAGGGAAAGCTGGAAAAGAGGTGGAAAAGAGCGTGTAGAGGGCAGCAGTGGGGATAAGATTTCCTTTCCCTGACAGGGCTGGGGCCACTCCTCCTCTGGAAAATAATAATAATGACAATCCCAAACCCCAAAAATAATCACAACCCGCCCCCCCCAGCTAGCCAGCTGAGCTGTTCCTTTTGGCTTGTGCACCCTGAGCTGGTTTGTGTATTTTCTGCGCATCCGTAGTGAAAAATTAATTAACATGTGGTTATTATTTTCTCTCCTGAGTAACTTTCCCTTGCCCTCCTCCAGGCCTCTCATCAGAACAGGCCTAATCAGATTTGGGTGGCTTGAGAGCAGGGACTGTGCACTGAGAAGGGGGCATCTGCCTTAGGTGGTGGTCAGAGCAGATGGTGGTCTTCTCAAAGAATGCACTGGGAATAGGAACAGCAGTGCGGACGGATGTCTGGCACAGAGACTGTTCACATTTCTTTTTCCCAGATGAACGTCCCAAAGATGCTGGACGTTTAACACATACAATTAAAAAAGCCCTACGCAGATAAACACAGGCAGTCTAGCGGTGTAGGACATTGTTGCCTGACAGCCCTATTCACACGTGGGCTGGACTCTGCATCCTTTAGGTCAGGGTATTGGAAAAAAATACATTTAGGCTGTACTGAAGAGGAGGGTATCTTTGTGTGCTGCTGCAGCACAGACAATGGATACAGCCCAAAGTGCTCAGATCTGCCCTTCTTTCCTATGGCTGACACACTCTAAGGTGTGAACCCCTTCATTATCCAAGGGCTGGATCGAATCCTGGCACTGGATGGGCAGCACTCATCCTTCTCCCCGTCTTTGCTAAGAACTGTGGGAGAATTTGTCCATGACAAGGTGCTAAGATGCAGTTCATTATAATCTCATGTCCCTCTTGTCCTAAGCATTTAGCATCATTTAGACAGTCTTTCCCAGACAAATGTGGAGCGAGATGGAGCCAGGGTGCAGGGAAATGGCCAGCCCTCGGAGCAGGAGCAGATGGCTGTGGCCGGAGCAGCGGGTGTGCAGGGGAGGCTTCTCCTCAGACTTGGGCTCGGGCGTTAGCTGCTCTCTAAATCGATGCTGCACTTGGCCGTGTGTGGTGGGAGCCTGTCACAACTCCGGCGGTGCTGGCAGGCCATGCTGCAGGCTGGGGGCTGCGGGATGGATGAGCAGGGCAGGCCTGGAGTCAGCCCAGCCCTTCGGGGGCTGTGCGGAGCCGTGGGGACCAGGCAGGCTCTGCAGCACTGCCCACGTTTCATTCTGCTTTGCTGCTCTCTCCCCGTCCCCCGCAGCGCTGACATGAGGCTCTGGGGCTCTGTAGGCATCGCTAACAGGAGGAGGGCATTGCTCCAGTGGGTTGCTGCTGTTGTACAGGTACAGCTCACCTGTGCCAGCTCCCCTGGAGCCAGATGTACAAAATTATTTCATGGTTGTGCCTGGTGAAACTCACCCGAGGAGTGATGCTGGGGTGGGGGGAGCACTGGAAATACAATTGACGAGTCCAAAATGCAAAAATGGATGGAGGCTTTAGTGGACAGCAGGAAAACTATCCCACGGGACAGCAGACAAATCTCACAGCACAGCCTAGCCTTAAATTCGTTTTAGCTCCAGAGACAGGGAGTGTTGTGCTGTGGAAGCTGCGGTGCCAGGCCGTGGGACAGCACAGCAGAGTGGCAGAATGCCGGAGCTGAGGAGCCAGGCATGTCAGAAAGATGCTGCTCCAACAGCTAATAGAGGCTACATTTTTCCTGATACAAGTACCCTTCAATGCCCATATTCAGTGCCCCAAAAAGCTGCACATCTATAACCTCTGAGAACATCAGTCAACAGAAGGTTTTCACGGCGTGAATAACCACTCAGACTTTCTGGGGACTTCAAGTGATAAAAAAAATAAATCAAGACCATTCAGAAGAGCCTTAGACAAGGCAGATGGGCCTGAGGGTATTATCTGAGAAATTGTCTATTACTCCCATTGCACCAGCCTTACTTAGAGCATGCAGAGCTTTCACCTGTGGAGAGATCCCACCCTGAGCACACGGGGCAGCACCAGCTTTTCCAAGGAGTGAAACCGATGGCAGGTTTACATTTAAATGTGCCCTTAGGAGACTGGAACAATTCTGGCCTGGGTGCATGGTCCCATTCAACCCCATCTAAAGAAAATCTCCCACATTAGCATCCCGTCCAGATTCAGCTCCAAATTTGCACAGCATCAGTCACACATTTCACATCTGAAGCTGCTTGTGGTAAGACTCAGAGAGGGCAGTGACACCCAATCCCCTGGGCCCAAGAGCTGGCTTAGCCTCACCAGGCAGTAGCT